AATTCGGTGCTTCGTTTAGCATGGTTGAAGAGAGAATGTAGAGAAAACATTTATTGGTTGTATTCAAGTCAAAGATTTCATGAGGTAAGCATCTTATTATTTTGTCTAAGAAGGGAAATAGTTTATAAGAGCTAAGAACTTTTATTTTTAGCATGTGTATCTTTGGAAATTTTTCTTTGCAAAATCAGATGTTGTGGAATGAATTTTGCTTGGCAAATAGTGTTTTCGTTAAATTTTTTAGTTTGCAAAATGAGATATGCGTACCTTTTTTTTATAAAATAGTATTTAAAAATTATATAGTTGGAAGACTATTGAAAGAAAAAACCATTTGTATGTGATAAAGAATATATTTAATCCTGTTTGGAGACTAGAAAACGTTTGTAATTTTGTACTCGATACAAAATTGAATTTTGTCTTATTTTTGTAGACATAAAACTGTTGTAGTTTCTACTCTAAATAAATCATACTATGCAATATATTTGAAAATGAAAAATTCACATAATAAGTCAATGTTGTACTTCTGACTATTATAAACTTCACTGTTATATAGAAACAAATTGTACAAATATTTTTGTCTTTATTGTTAGTATTCTAAATACTAAGTGGTTTGTCTATTTTTGATAAAGAAAAAATATACCAGTGACTAAGAGTTTGTCATTTTGTGCCTCTATGGAATACCCTTTGACACTATGTAAATATTGGCAAAGGGAATTGAAGCAATATAATTCTTTTATAGAACAGTTTTTCCAAAACATGTTTCATAAGACCAATGATATTTTTATAGTCTTGAAAAATATGTGCAAAAATATTTTCAAAAACTTGAAATATATTTTTCAGATCACATTTAAAATGTTGGAGTTCTTAGCTTATGATAAAGATAAAATCAGACATGGTGTCTATTTAATTTTGGAGCAAAAAATATGAAATTTAGTGATACTTTTGTATTAAGTTGGACCCACAAATTCTTGGAGTATATTCTGTATTTTGGGTTTTGAGTTTCTCTATTACTAGTATATGCTGTGACCAGAATGAAACTATCAAATTATATATATATACCTGTTCAAAATAAATGTGTTTTTTTAATGAAAAAAGTGTCATTTAAAATGTTGTGTTTTTTTGTGAAAAGATATGTCTATTATAATAAATGTATTTGCATAGACGTGAATTGTGGTGAATAATCATTTGTTATGTTTTGTAAAAGAAACATTTTGACTATAATGCCTTTATTTTAGCCAATGAACATTGCTGTTCTATAACAATCAATTCGAAAGTTATGGAAAGGTCCTTCTGAAAAGGATATTTGCAAGTCGATGGCTCAAAACAATGTTTGTATCACAAAATATTGTAAGAAATAGGAACAAAATATTAGTGAGAAAAAGACTACCTTGCGAAAATCTTTTCACACTCATTATTTTTATTTGTTCTTACTTTCTTGAGTCGAAGTTTATGACTTCAACACCTACACCTTGCAAGGAAAACTGATCAAATTAGAAGTTTGTCTAACTTTGAGTGCAATAAATAAAAATGTCATGTTTGTGAGGAATCTAAGTATGCTGAGGATTCTTACAGATCTGTTGAAAGGAATTCTAATCCCTTATAGTTGATTTACACTAAAATTTATAATATGAAGTCAAAAACATCTCGTGATGGAAAAAAGCATCTCATAATTTTCATTGAGAATTGCATTAGAAATGACTATGTCTATTTGTTGAATGGTAAGGATAAACCAATAGAAATGTCTAGACAATATAATGTTAAAGTTGAAAATCAGATGGAAAAAAGATAAGAAGTGATAAGAATGGAGAGTATAAATCTCCTTATACAAAAATATGTTTGAATAGTAGAATCATCCATCAAACTGTTGCTCTATTCACCTCAATCTAATGAAAAATCGAATATTAAAAGAAAAAATGGATGCATTATATATATGTTCAGGTTTACAACAAAACTTGTGCGGTGGAACAATCCGAACTACAAAAGAAAACAACAAAAAGTTTTGTGTTTTTACAAAGAAATTTTGTTGGTTCAGGACACAATCTATTTCATATGAGAAATAGAAAGGAAGGAAATCAAACTTGAAATATTTCAAAGTGTGGGGGTGTCTATCCAAAGTCCAAGTTCCAATTTCTTAAATGATTAAAATATGATTTAAGATTGTGGACAATAAACTTAGTTTTGAATAGTCATGTGAATTGTGTAAACGACCTTAGGAAGGACAAGAGGAGAATGTCCTTAATAAAGAGATTTATAGGCGTAGTATTTGTCAAAGGATATCAACTTCCTTTGAATATGATTTTTTAACATTTCTTCTGTCTTCTATAGACTAATCCTTTTGGATAGATGGTGTCAATTGATAACGTTCAAATATACTTCTTGAAAAGAAATATAAATGATCTTATGCAATATATTTACTAAACGATTAGTCGGGATCGATCCCACAGGAAGAATATTATCAATAGAAAATATTTAACTCGATAGTCATCATATAAAAGTGGGGGGATTTAAATTTAAATATAAATAAAACCACTAAATATAGCTTTGAACTAAATATTTTTTATATCCAAATTGATAAAAATAACTAGAAATATATTCCCCATAAGTTCATAACGCGTTAATCCTAGTAATAACAATTCTTTCATAGTGTATTACATGAAAAATGATAAGTTAGGTATCTCTAATTCCTTGGTCCAGCAACTAGAGAATTTCACCCCGCACCTTGGTCCGGTTACATGTGTATAATTTACAAACCTTCCCATTACCTCATATTATACATCATAATCGATGTATCTCTTAGTTATTACTTCACACCAATCGACAATATGCTATTAGATAGTATCACACTAAATCTATATTGATAATTCTTTCTTATTAACTATATCCCTGGTCCGACAAGTAGCAACAAGGCGATTTCTAACGTGTGCACTCATTAAAGATACTTCTAAACGAAAGAATTATCAATGCATGCAAAAACCTATTTGAGAATCTCTTAGTGAGTATTTATACTTTGTTAATCTCCTATGGTTTCCACAACCATAATTATTAAATTTAGCTTATCATTATCTCAAAAACACAATAAAAATTTATTAAAATATATATGCTCGTGTTAATGAAAAAAGATAAAAATAATAGCTATATTATGTTTTATTAATCACGAAAGAAAATATTTAATAAAGGACAAGAAAGAATAAACAACAATTCTCCGGGCTTCATGACCACTCATTCAACGTTCCAAAGCTAGAAAAAAATTGATATTTGTGTCTTGTTTCTTGATTCTTGGCCTCCTCCCTAATAATTATTTCTATGCACTATTTATAAATTTAGTAATCCAAACAAATTAGGAATCCAAAACCAAAAGGAATTGGATTGCCTTTTTATTTTTGCGCGTGTAGATTTTAATTTTGAGCGAGAAACTCTCTATATTGCTTCCGGGCACGTGGACCGGCACGTAAGTTTTCCTTTACTTATTTTCATATAAATTATATTAATATTAATTTTATATTAACTTATTTCCATTAAGTTGCCTGCTTGATATCCTTCTTCAACCTTCTATCTTTAATTTATTTTGGCTCCAAACTTCTCCAATTTTTTATCAATTTAATCTTATAAATAAAATAAAAAATTTAGAAGAATTCATAAAATTTATGCTAAAAAGGAAAATATAAATAATAAATGTGAGAAAAATAATGATTAAAAAAATATAGTTTTAGCCTCACATGAACACCTCACACTTAAAACTTTAGCTCGTCCTCGAGAAAGCGTGAAAGCTCATCTCAAGAAAATCCAACTAGCAATATCATCATTTTGATTTATACAAATAATTAGGTCGTATATGAATTTCAAAATATCAAGTAGACTTCTCAATCATTATGCAAGACATCCAAATAAACAACAAACCTCTAACTTAATAATCTCAAGGAAGGACTTTAAACCCATCAAATTTAAGCTTGCTCACCTACTCTCATCAAAGAAAGTTAATAAAATCACCTATCTATCATGAAACAAGTTCCCTCACAAGAAGAAATATTCTAGACACTCAATTCAAAAGAGTGAATATAAATTAAAGACATGATATCAAGAACAATTTTCACACTCACAAATATAATTCACATGTATGAACAATGAACCACATGATTGCCCATTATATACATCTCCAAAAATTAAGTATGCTTGAATAGAATCGAATAGGACTTTAATGGGTTTTAGTTTATCCTACGGTATGGGTAGGAAAACTATATAATAGTGACTTAAACTTCCTTAAGAACTTGTCAATTTTTAGACTTCATCAAACATATTTTGTAACATTTCGAAAATCCAAGATGAGTCTTAAGTCCTACCATTAGGTTCCATGAGGTCTAAACACTGTTTCAAGATCTATTTTACTGAATACAGATCATTTAATAAGTTTAGGAACAAAAATATCCAATAACGTCCATGATGTCTGAAAACTAGGTCTAGGAGGTACTAGCGTGCCTAAGCCTATTTGATGAGCTTTTAGAAGCAGGAAATCCATGAAAATTTATGGAAAGGTAGCTGATAGGTGTTTATGATGATTCTTGGTCGAAACGTACGGTTAAGAATCCCTAAGAACCAACCAAGGGCCCTTGAGGAGGACCCTAGTAACCACGAGGCAACACTGGGCAGTGCGCACCAATGAAACACAAACAACGGCTCGTGTGTTCATTGATGAGGCATCGATGCCAACCGTCAAACAACATTATTTTGTTAGAGCCCTCTCCTGCACAAGTCTCTGACCGAAACGACGGTTGAGCACCATGGAAGGCAAAGTGCGCATCCACTCACAGACGGACCGTCGATCGGGGTTCTGTTTGTGAGGGTCCAATTTCCCTACACATTTTAAGCTAGTTTCATTTAATTAGTTAAAGTCGTTGGTGGTTAATTAGGGGAATAATATAGTCTAATTAAGTAAATTTACCCCCCTCCCCCTTATAAAAAGCCCAACCCTCATTAGATTAAACATAACTCACAAAACAATTCCTCTTCCTTCTTTGTTCTTTCTCGCTCTATTGGAAGATACCATTAAAGAACAAGATAGTGAAGGGTTTTTGGGGATAAAAAAGGACGAATTCAACATCAAATATTCATAAAACATTGAGGTATGAGATATAATTCACCTTTGAGACCTCTTTCCTTAAAGGATTCCTTCAAAATATTTTCAAAAGTTGGAATTTCATGTTGGTTCTTTTGAATCTCGAAAATTAGGTTATGAATTGATTTATTTATGTTTTCTATTGGTTAATGTGAATAGGTTAACATTTATTATAACTTAATTGTGTTATATCTTGATTATTTTGTATAGATTGTAGATAATAATCCTTAATCCTTAACCCTTGGTTGGATATTGACATGAATTAGGTTGAAATTGGTTTAATTGACTTGGATATTTGTTGAAATTATATTAATTGGTGTTGTTACCTTAATAATGAAAAAATTATAGTGATTTGTAGTCTTTCATTCTAGTTCTTGACATGATGGTCTTGGTTAAAAAGATAATTAACCTAAGTGTCTTATCATAAGCTATTATCTAGTATTGAATTGTAATGTAGTGATTCTTCTAACTTTGTTATCATGTTGATTATGGAATTATGATGTTGTAGATCTAAATTGGATTTAATTGACGGTTTATGGTAATACCTTTATGTTGAACTATGAAGGAGACTTGGTAAGTCTTATGATCTCTATCCTTTACTTCCATTTGTGGTTAATTGTGATTAAGTCATGATGTTATATTGGAGTAAGTTGTATTAGTATTGATAGGATGGTATGATGTTAAATTTAAATATCTTTAATATGTTGTGAGGTTGATTAAGGTGTATATGTTATAAGGATGATGATGACTATGAACGTGCCTTATTATGATATAAAATACTTATGTGCTAACCTCACTTATATTAATTGTGATGAAAGAACTTATACTCATGCAATTCTTATTGAGCTATTTATGATGATGATTATACAAGGCTTAGACCCTATTACCTAAAATAAGCTATGATTGATAATAAAGGCTTAAAGACATTTCAATAAAAGGACTTATCTTAACACCGAGTAAACTTGACAATGGGAAGTAATGACTTCCCATAGTGTAACATTCACCCTATTGTTCTAATGTGGTGTTGACTCCCCAATGAGGGACACTCATCAAATGGATTCCCATGAGATGAGGCCCCAATTTGAATGTGGCATGTAGAGGATCCTCGTAGAAAGCTATGTTTATATTTTGTTTTACTTTAACCATAGACCACCTTCCATCAGTGTAAGGTTTTACAACTCCGGATTCCACACTAGCTGATGTGGCATATGCTGGTTAAAGCAAGATGTTCCCAAAAAGGTAAAAAATGAATTAAAGGATGAACTCGAACTAGGATAACCTTACAAGTCTAGCTTAGTCTAGGTAGGGGTATGGGACTCTACGTAATAATTGCACTAGTTATCCTTGAAGGGAGTATTAGGAGGATGTTCTTATGTATGTTTATGTTTGTAATGATAAATCATATGTACATGATGAACTTTCACATTGTTGATACTATACGTTTATCAGTTTACTTATAAGTATGTATTGGTTTATATTATTAAAGTAAGATGAAATATATGTGTAAATGTCATGTTATGTGAAGTAGGATGTTAGTCATGATTCTTATTGAGTTAGTTGATGGAGTAAGGTTACGGGGCTTTACTTGGTCATTGCACTTCTTGAGTTGATAGAGGTTCATGGAAAATTATCTTGTTTTGTAATAATGAAATATACTCTTATTCATGCTAATTGATAATATGACTTGGATGTTGAGTTATTTGAGTATGTATCAACCAACATGATATTAATGGTTTACTTGACTAAACTTGAAGTTGTACTTTTGTGATGAACATGCCTATGACTTAATAAATATGCAATGTTGATTGGTATGATCTTGTGGAATGTGCATAATGGTTTTTAATGGAAAAATGCAAACTTTACGAATTCTTCTTTTTCTTAGCATGTTTTACAAGTATATGTGCATATGGTCTTATACATAGTACAAATGGCGTACTAACCCAATTTCTTCCTTTTCCCTAACATTTTAGGTTCCGGTCATTGAAGGCTCATTGGAGACGACTGGAAGAAGGCTTGGATATTATCTACCATCCAAGTGGATAGGTCCTCACATTTTGAGAGCAATGCCAATATCTAGCTTATGGTTTTACTTTGTTTTCTAAGACTTATGTTCACTCTATTTTAATTTGTGAACCATTTTTATAATCCAAGATGTGTTTTCTTTACATAGATGTAGGGCTATTCCTAAGTTGCTATGATCATTTAGATGGTATGAGATGAGACAATCTTTAAGACTTTGTTCTATCTTATATATGTATATGTGCAATTAAAGTAGAAGTCTATGTAACCATCCTATACGAATGGTCTATGTATACTCGATATATATATATATTATGTGTATGTAGAACATTTTATTACTTCTACTTGGAGGTTTACATAGATCTCTACATACACATAATATATATATCGAGTATACTTTTGGAATTATTTTGCATCTAATCCTATTGTTGTGATTATAGAAAGAATAGAACACTCAAACGAATGCGACAGGAAGACATTAGGAGGAGATTGCCAAAGCGGGAGATCCTTCCCGTGGTGATAAAGTTCATCCACTTGATGATGATGCTAATATGGAATAAGCTCCAGTGAATCCTCCACTCTTCCTTGATGGAGATATAAGGGTTGCCCTCATCCAATTGTCTCAAGCTGACACTGTTCAAGACTAAGCTATGGCGGCCAAGCCAACCGTGAGGTTTTACCCCGTCCTCATCAACAAGTTACTAGTATGGATTCCCATTTATGGGATTATTTTTTAATGAACCCTCCCACCTTCTGCAGGTCTAATATTGAGGAAGACCCCCAGGAATTTATCAAAGAAGTCTATAAGATACTTTTGGCTATGGGTTTGTCCACAAGTGAGAAGGCCAAGTTGGCCTGACATCAACTTAAGGCGTGACTCAAGTATGGTTTGTGAAATGGAGGGAATATAGGCCATTGAGGGGTGGTCCATTGAATTGGGAAATCTTCAAGAAAGCTTTTCTTGATCGGTTCTTTCCTAGGGAGATGAGTAAAGATAAAGTGGTGGAGTTCATCAACCTTCTCCAAGGAGGTATGAGTGTTCATAAATACTCTTTGAAATTCACTAAATTGTCGAAATATGCCCCTTCTTTGGTTTCCGATCTTAGATATAAAAGAGAAGTGTCATTCGGCTATATTACATGATAACAAGAATATTTCTCGTCTTATGGTGCATGCCAAGTATGTGGCTGAGGCAAGGGTTAAGAGGAAGAGTAGAGATGCAAAGAGGGTAAGATTTTTTGATGTAGGTTCTTCAAAGAATAGGCTTGTGAGACAAGACAAGCCTAGATTTAAGAAGTGAGTTTCTAATAAAGTTCCATCCAGGTTTCGTAAGTCTCGTGATGATAAGGTAACTAACCGAGAGACCAAAAGATAAGGAGTGGAAACTCACAACATGAGAAGCCTAAATGTGCCAAGTGCGGATAGGGTCATTTTAGTGAATGTTTGGTTGGACGGGGAATTCTTTTTGTTGTGGAAAAAGTGGATACAAGGTTAGGGATTGACCTAATTTAAAGGGTCAATAAAAGGGTGGTCAAGCTCAAGCAAGTGGTTCAAATGAGGCTCCGAATAAGAACCGCTTATATGCTCTCCGCTCTAGGGGTATGCAAAAGACTTCTCAAGACGTGGTGACCCGTATGTTGAAAGTCTTCTGTTTTGATGTACATGCCTTAGTTGATCCTGGTGCTACTTTATCCTTTTTTAACCCTCTAGTAGCCAAAAAATTTCATTTTTACCAGATATTTTGCATGAACCTTTTAAAGTGTCCACTTCGGTGGGTGATCGGTTGTTGCAAAAAGGGTATATAGAAATTTTCCTATAATGTTGCCCAGTAAAGTTTATTATGTTGAACTAGTAGGACTATATATGCTTGATTTTGCTATTATATTGGGTATGGATTGGTTGCATGCTTGCTTTGCTTCTATTGATTGTAGGACAAGGGTGGTGAAATTTAACTTTCCAAATGAACTCGTTGTAGAGTGGAAGGGGGGAGGGATGGGGAAACACTATTCGTAGAGTTCGTATTATCTCTTGTCTAAAATAATTCAAAATGATTGCTAAAGGTTGTTGATATCATATTGTAAGAGTCCAAGATCTAGATTCCGAAATTCCTCCTATTGAGTCAGTCCTTGTGGTGAGAGAATTTGCGGAGGTTTTTCTTAATAAGCTTCCCGATATTCCTCCTGAAGGGGAAATTGATTTTGGTATTGATTTACTACCGAATACAAATCCTATTTCAATTCTTTCTTATCGGATAACTCCGACGGAATTGAAATAATTGAAGGCATAACTCAAGCATTTACAATAAAAAGGCTTCATAAGACCTAGTGTTTCTCCATGGGTTCTTTGGCTTTGTTTCTGAATAAGAAGGATGGGTCCTTAAGAATGTGTAATGATTACCGCCAACTCAATAAAGTCACAATCAAGAATAGTACCCTCTTCCTTGGATTGACGACTTATTTGATCAACTCAAAGGGGCAAGTTACTTTTCTAAGATTGACTTGAGGTTGGGTATAACCAACTTAGGGTGAGAGGTGAGGATATATCAAATACGACATTCTGGACTAGATATGGTCATTATGATTTCTTAATATGTCCATTTGTATCACTAATGCTCTGGCAACGTTTATTGAACAGATAAATAGGGTGTTTTTATTTGTCATTCTATTCATTGACGACATCTTGGTATGTTGAAAAAATGAGGATGAGCACATAAACCATTTAATGGTAGTGTTGCAAGTACTTAAAGAACATCAATTGTTTTCCAAGTATAGAAAATGCGAGTTTTGGTTAAAGTTGGTGACATTTCTTTGTTATATCATCTCTAATGAGGGAGTTGAGGTTGATTCAAGGAAAACGGAGGCGGTGAAAAATTGGCCTAGACCTTTGACTTGAATGGATATTAGGAGTTTCTTGGGTTGAGCGGGCTATTATCGAAGGTTTGTAGAGGTTTTTGCGTCTATTGCATCTCCTTTGACTACTTTGACCCAAAGGGTAAGAAATTTGAGTGCTCAGAGGCATGCGAGAGAAGTTTTCAAATGTTGAAAGATAGGCTTACATTTGCTCCAGTGTTTACTTTACCGAAGGGTACAAAAGGTTTTGTTGTGTATTGTGACGCATCCCGAATGGGTTAGGAGTGTGTGCTTGTGCAACATGGATGGTTCTAGGGAACTTGAGGTACATGAGAGAAACTATCCAACTCATGACCTTGACTTAGCGGCCATGGTGTTTGCCTTGAAAATATGGAGGCATGACTTTATGGCGTTCATGTTGATGTATTTACCGACCATAAGACTCTCCAATATGTGTTTACCCAAAAAAATTGAATCTCCGACAAAGAAGGTGGTTAGAATTGTTGATTGATTATGACATGAGGGTCCTCTATCACCGCGGTAAGGGTAGCGTGGTTGCAGATTCCCTATTTCTTATGACTATGGATAGTGTATCTCACATTGATGAATCCAATAAAGACCTAGTGATGGATGTTCATAGGTTGGCTAGGTTAGGTGTGAGGTTGGAAGATTCTTCGGATGGTTGTTTCATGGTTCATAATAACTCCGAGTCATCACTAGTAGTTAAGGTGAAGTCCAAACAACACCTTGATAAGTCAATGATGAAGTTGAAGGAATCGGTTTTTTGAAAGTTTAATGAGGTATTCTCCTTATAGGGGAAACATATTTTAAGGTTCCAAGGATGATTGTGTGTTCCCAATATAGATGGATTAAGGGATCAGATCCTTGAAGAGGCCCATGGGTCCCTCTACTCCATTCATCCATATTCGACAAATATGTGCCATGAACTTAGGAAAGTACATTGGCAGGAAGGTATGAAGAAGGACATTGCGGAGTTTTTCACAAAGTGTCCGATTTTCCAACAAGTAAAAGCCGAATATCAAAATTTGTGTGGCTTACTACAAGATATCAAAGTTTCTATTTGAATGTGGGAAGACATCAATATGGATTTTTGTAGTGGGTTCACCTCGTACTCAGAAGAAATATTATTCTATATGGGTGATTACGGATAGGTTGACCAAGTCCGCTCGCTTTATTCCCGTCAAGTATACTTATTCAGCGGATGATTATGCTAGGATCTTCATGATGATATTGTGTGTCGCCATGCTATTCTTTTATCCTTCATATAAGATCTGGGTGCAAAATTCACATCTAGGTTTTGGAGGTCATTCCAAAAAGGGTTGAGTGCTAAGATGAAGTTGATTACCACTTTTCATCCCCAAACGGAAGGTCAGGAGAAACGTACTATTCAAACCCTTGAGAATATGCTTAGGGCTTGTATTATTTATTTCAAGAGAAATTGGTATAAGCATTTTTCTTTGGTGGAGTTTGAGAATAATAATAGTTTTAATTCATCCATTTCCATGGATCCATATGAAGCCTAGTATGGTAGGAGATGTAGGTCTCCTATTGGATGGTTTAAAGTGGGAAAGGCTATGCTTCTCAGTTCTGATTTGGTTTATAACACTTTGGATAATTTTAATATCATAAGGCGGTTGCAAACATCCTGTAGTCGGCAAAAGCCTTATACCGATCATAAGAGAAGGGATTTGGAGTTTTAAGAAGGTGATAAAGTGTATTTGAAAATTTAACCAATGAAAGGGATGTTTAGATATTGCAAGAAAGGAAACTTGAGTTGTCATTATGTGGGTCCCTATGAAATCTTGGAAAGAGTTTGTAAGGTTGCCTATGAATTGAAACTTCCAAGTGAATTGTCTTCCGTTAATCATTTTTTCCATGTTTCTATGCTTAAAAAGTGTATTGGTGATCCCGAGTATATTCTTTTTTATTGAGGTTCTTGGTGTTAAGGATAACCTTTCTTATGAGGAAGTTCCGGTTCAAATTCTTTATAGCAAGTCAAGAGGTTAAGGAATAAAGAGGTGGTTTTCGTAAAGGTGTTATCGAAGAATCATCTAGTTGAGGGTGCAACATGGGAGGCCAAGGCCGACATGAAATCCCGTTACCCTCATCAATTTGATAACTAGAGTTATTTGTTCTTACTAATCATTAATATAATGACTAAAATTGAACTTTTTTTGATTTTTAATGAACTGTTGCAAAATGTGCATTTTTTTATTTTTGCTTTACAGTGATTATAGTGAAGTCTGCATTTGATTTTTTAATTTTTCTCTTTGCCTTGTTTGAGTTATTTTGCACACGTTGATATAGTGAATCTTTATGAAATGATATGTAGCATATTGATAAGT